AAGGAGACGGGTGACAGGCCATCACTCCACTCTTCCCAAGTTGTTGTGGACTCAGAGGCCTGTGTGCTCTCAGCTCCCCACGGTTTCCAGGGAGAACCCCTAGTGTGCCAGCCCTTCTCGAGGTCACCACCTCTTTGCCAGGGCCAAGCCGCAGGCTCCTCCGCCCCTGAGACTGCTCCCCGCAGTCCCCAGGGGGACCCCATTACTGCACAGTCCTTCTGTGACGAAGTGGGACTGTTCTTAATGGTTCCTCTGAATAGTGTGGGGGTGCCTCAGTTTCCCCTATGCAGTTCTTAAGTCTCTAGGTGGTGGGATAAGGGTGTATGATCATTGCAGAGCCCTCGAGGGCAGGTGTGTGCAGGGGTCTGGACACAGAGAATGGCTGACACCCTGTTTCCTGGCAGCTGATGGCCTGGCCCTTCCCCCCCTGCCAGATGAGAGCTAAAGGGTTGGAGAACAAAAGAATCCGGTGACCTCCTGGCCCGGGAAAGGAACAAAGCCCAGAGGAGGAGGGGCTGGAGGAAGTTTCAGTTTGGGGCTGCTGGGGCGTGGAGTGAAGGGCAGACGTGTTGTCTGGCTCACTGCCCCCCAAAATGGACCCAGCTGAGGGGTCCCGTTCTCTGCACCTACAAGCTCTGTGTTAGACCATGTTCCTGTCGTCTAATAAACCTTCTGTTTTACTGGCTGGCTAAGAGTCATGTCTGACTGCGGAGTTGGGGGGCAGGACACTTTGGCTTCCCCAGGACCCCACCTGGGCGGACTCGCTGTGGGAAGCACATGGAGGTGCAGAGGATGCTGAGTGCTCCGAGGTCAGATCCAGGAAGGTGGAAGCTGGGTGAGCTGTGTGTCCTGGAGACAGGCTGCTCACAGAAAGGAGACTTCCCCAGCATCCTGACTGGCATCATAAGGAGCAGTTCCAGTGCGTCGCCTGGGGACTTTGTGACACCTTCTCGCTGGTCACACACTCCCAGGGGTTAACCACCCCCCAAAACCGCTCCTCTCTGAGCCTTCAGCATGCCTGGTCCTCGTCAATCCCCCTTCGTTTTACTGCTCCCCAGTCACTTACTGCAGGAAGCGCCATCCACGGGGTGCAGTACATCCCACCGCTACCACCAGTTGTCACGGAGTCCCCAGGCGATGCTTTGGAACCGCTCCCTGCGAAGCCAGGCAGGACTCTGGGGCAGTCGCCTTTCTGTGAGCAGCCTGTCTGCAGGACACACAGCTCACACAGCTTCCACCTTCCTGGGTCTGACCTCGGAGCATTCAGCATCCTCTGCCCCTCTGTGCGCTTCCCACAGCGAGTCCGCTCAGGCGGGGTCCTGGGGAAGCCAGAGGGTCCTGCACCCCAACTCCGCAGTCAGACGGGACTCTCAGCCAGCCAGTAAAACAGAGGTTTATTAGACGACAAGAACATGGTCTAACATAGAGCTTGTAGGTGCAGAGAACAGGACCCCTCAGCTGGGTCCATTTTGGGGGGCAGTGAGCCAGACAACCACGTCTGCCCTTCACTCCATGTCCCGGCCAGCCCCAAACCGAAACTCTCTCCAGCCCCTCCTCCTCTGGGCTTTGTCCCTTTCCCAGGGCAGGAGGTCGCCTGATTCCTTTGTTCTCCAACCCTTCAGCTCTCACCTTGCAGGGGGGAAGGGCCAGGCCATCAGTTGCCAGGAAACAGGGTGTCGGCCATTCTCTGTGTCCAGACCCCTGCACACACCTGCCCTCGAGGGCTCTGCAATGATCATACACCCTTACCCCACCCCCTAGATACTTAAGAACTGCATAGGGGAAACTGAGGCACCCCCACAGTATTCAGAGGAAACTGTAAGAACAGTCCCACTTCGTCACACAGGCTCCCCATGTGACTGGGCCTCAGCAACCTGCAGTCCTACAGGGCTGTTCCCACGCGTGCGGAGGAGCTCGCCGGCCTGGCGCAGGACCCACACCACGCTGCTGCAGGCAGAAGAGCGATTTCTGTCACGTCTGGAACCGAGGCAGCTGGGTGAAAAGGGCCAGCCAAAGCAGCGGCCAAGCTAAGCTTCCACATTAGCACCAGCTATAAATATTAATAGCACGATGAGCGAGACACTAAGGAGGCCAAGAACAGCCGTCTGTCGCTCTAACCCCTCACCTAATGCAGTTTTCTCCTGACCTGCGGGAGCAACTTGGGGAGTGAGGGGTGGGGTCCTCGGGGAGGGAGGGAGGGAGGGGCGGGGGGGCGTCCAGAGTTTCACACTGAGCAGCACAGGCCCAGGCAGCGTCTACACTTCAAGGGCTGCAGCCGAGAGTCAGCGCTGGCCGCAGCAATGGGCAGAAGGCTCCTAACCGCGCCCAGGCTGCGGCTCCGGGGGTCACTCGCCCTGACAACGCACAGAAGGCAGGACGTTTTCCACGTGTAGCCAGGCCTCAGACTCCCAGAGTTACACCCAATAGGCTGGCACAGCACAAGGAGGGGTGCTCAGGGCCGGCGTGGCACCGGGGGGGAGGGGGCGGCGGCCGGGGGGGGGAGGGGGCGGCGTGGCACCGGGGGCACCAACAACCCCAATCCCGACCAGCACCAGTGCTTCCCAAGCTGCAGGCCACGGGCTGTCACGGACACTCAGCCACCTCCTCCCTCATCCCAGCCCCTGGTTCCATCGGGGGCCCCACTCAGGCTTTGGCCACAAGCCCCAGCACCTCAGTGACCAGAGCCAGGCCACGCCGCCCCCAGCGTGGGCCCGTCTGGGCAGGAAGCACCACAGACCAGTGACCCCTGCATGCCACGTGTCGCTGCTCCCCTCTCCCCCATCCAGCACCGCTGCCTGCCCGGCCTCTCCCCCACCCCGAACAGCCTCACAGCAACCCCCACATCGCCCGCATGCTGATGGACGGGAAGCATCTCCTGTGTTTACTGCTACTTTGGAGCTGCCCTCCTCCCCACAGATCCCGCACCCACCTCTGCACACAAAGCCCCCTCCCCTCCCCCCGGCACAGAGCCCCCACCCGTGGGCACCCCCCCACATATACACACAGAACCCCCATAGCACAAAGCCCCCACCCAGGGCCCCCCCACATATACACACAGAACCCCCGCGGCACAGAGCCCCCACCCGTGGGCCCCCCCCCACATATACACACAGAACCCCCGCGGCACAAAGCCCCCACCCATGGCCCCCCCACATATACACACAGATTCCCCCCCCCCCGGCACACAGCTCCCCCCACAACCCTCTCTCCTCCCATCCCAGAGGACCCTCCATTTGCAGCCCCACCCTGGGGGCCCCAGCCAGGCTGGCTGGGAGGCAGGAGAGCCCTGCAGGGCGGGCAGGCTGCGCTGGGCACAGGGGCTCAGGCTCACGCAGATAAAAGAATCCCCTTAACCCGCTGCCTTTGAGGCTGGGCCATGAAAGCAGCTCCCTGCAGTGCAGGACAGTCTCTTAAAGGCCCGGGGACACTGGCAGCTCCCAGGCAGGCTGAGACTGAGGCCCAGCCCGGGGCGCTCCCCAGGTCCCAGAGGCCAGCAGAGACGGCGAGACACTCAGCCAGCTCCCCCTGCTCCCCCCGCATGGCCAGGCGCGCAGCACCCGGGCACCAGTGCGGGCTCAGAGGGCAGGGCAGGGCAGGGCTGGTGGCCACAGAGCAGCCACCAGCCTGCTGGGGAACGATGCTGCCAACAAGCCCAGCTGGCACCTACACAGCCCAGAGCCACAAGCAGCAGGCACGGCAAGCTGGGGGCAGAGGGGCTGGTCACCCAGCCACGCCGCAGCCCTCCCAGCTGCGCAGGGGGGGGTTATTGGCAGAGCTGGGAGGGTGCCCTGCTCTGGCCCTGTCTGCCAAGCCCCGCTTTAGCAGCTGTTTGGCTAAGGGCAGGTGGGAAGGGAAGCCAGCCCCAGCCCCACTGCACCAGGCAGACAATATGCTAGTGAGCGTCATGACCCCTCCACCTACTCTTGGCTCTCACTCACCATGTGCAAACAGAGGGAGCTGGGGAGGGGGCAGAGCAGGGAGGCGGGTACAGCAGGGGGAAAAGAGGGGGGGGAAAATGCACAGGGGGAAAAACAGATTACCCTAAATTCTGCAAGGTGCCTCAATCTGCTGCCCCTGCACAGCAGAGTGCTCTGCTCAGCTCTTCACCCTCCACTTCTGCTTTCTCTGGGCCGCGGAGCAAATCGGGAGGGAAGCAGCATGGGGACAGGGGTCCCCCCTGCCTCTCTGTGGGCCCGTGAGCAGCTGGGAGAACCTGAATGCCCAGGCTCTGCCAATCACAGCTGCCCTCTCTGCCCCAAGGAGCGAGGGGATGGGATGCTAGGGTAAATGGGCAGCAGGGTCTTTCCCCTGGAGTCCAGGATGAGCTTGGTGCAGAGGCCATGGCCAGCAAGGCAGGGGCACAGAGGAGCTCGAGGGGGCCCCTTTCCCTCCCAAAGCAGCAGGGCACTGAATGGAGAGTGCCTGGAAGCACCAGCCTCTTAGAGCTCACCTGCCGCCATCAGGCCCTGCCCCCACTGCGGCCCAGAGCGCTCCTCGGCACACCGGCTCCGAGCTCAGGTCAGCCAGTTGTTAACACGGGCACCGTGACCCCGGCGAGGGCCAGGACATGCTGAGCTTGTCAGCTGCTGGCTCGAACGCACCAAGGGGTGGGGGGCAGAGCCAGGCAGCGAGATCAGCCTGACAGCATGGTCGTCTCTCACCGCTCACACGGCCACATAAATTCAACCACAAACAAACAGCCGCTATGGCTGGGAAGCCAGGACTGCGCCGAGCGAACGCTGGCCGGCTGCCCCACCCTGCCCGCAGCACTGCACAGCTGGGCACTGCCTAACGCAGGAGATACCAAGTACAGGCACCACGGGAGGCTCCGTGTGGGAGGCAGGGTCACGGAACAGGCAGATCAATGCTTTAGCAAAGCTGCTTGCTGCGAGGCATTACTTTTCTGCCCAGGGGACCCATCTGGGGATATGCCAGATGCCAGGGTGTGTGGCGAGGGCAGACACCCCTCCAAGGGCAAAGAGCTTACGTCTTTCACTCACCTTTCAATGATGTCAGCGATGGTGCACGCGAACATGAGGAGGCCTTCGGGCATCTGCAGAGCCACTAGGAGAGAGACAGATCCCCAGGGTTAGGATGCACTGAGCAGGTAATTTCTTCCGCAAAGCAAACACCTTGGTACAAGCCTGACGACACCCCTGCGCACAGTGAGCCAGACCCAACCCACACACTTCCAACCACACCCAACCCTTCCGCCTTCTGCATCCACCCCAGAGCTCCTTCGAGCCAGAGCCGCCCACAGCATGGGGCTGGGACCCTGGCACACTTAGCCCATGACACCCACCATTACAGGTGGCTCCAGGAGTTCCTGAGCACTTCCTAAGGGGAGGGAGTCACAAGTCCTCTGCACTGGGGCAGCTGCAACACTCTCTGCTCCCTGGCCACTCTGGGGAGGAGTCACAACACGGCAATGACCCAGGAAGGGGAGAGCTGGAGAACTCCCTGCAGCTGGATGCTGAACCCGCCTGGCACAGAGAGGACCATGGCGCCAAGGTGCTGGCCAAGCACCAAGGCTCAGAGTTCTAGGCCAGCACCTCTGTGCCCAGGCCACGTGCTGCAGCCCAGGAATGAGCCAAGGCCCTCTGGGTGCTGGCCCAGGTGACAGGTGTGACGAAGTGGGACTGTTCTTAATGTTTCCTCTGAATACTGTGGGGGTGCCTCAGTTTCCCCTATGCAGTTCTTAAGTATCTAGGTGGTGGAGTAAGGGTCTGTGATCGTTGCAGAGCCCTCGAGGGCAGGTGTGTGCAGGGGTCTGGACACAGAGAATGGCCGACACCCTGTTTCCTGGCAACTGATGGCCTGGGCCCTTCCCCCCTGCAAGGTGAAAGCTAAAGGGTTGGAGAACAAAGGAATCCGGTGACCTCCTGGTCTGGGAAAGGAACAAAGCCCAGAGGAGGAGGGGCTGGAGGGAGTTTCAGTTTGGAGACATGGAGTGAAGGGCAGACCTGGTTGTCTGACTCACTGCCCCCCAAAATGGACCCAGCTGAGGGGTCCGGTTCTCTGGTTTAGACCACGTTCCTGTTGTCTAATAAACCTTTGTTTTACTGGCTGGCTGAGAGTCCCGTCTGACTGCGGAGTTGGTGGGCAGGACCCTCTGGCTTCCCCAGGACCCCGCCTGAGCGGACTCGCTGGGGGAAGCGCACGGAGGGGCAGAGGATGCTAAATGCTCGGAGGTCAGACCCAGGAAGGTGGAAGCCGTGTGAGCTGTTTGCCCTGCGGACAGGCTGCTCACCGGAAGGCGACTGCCCCAGAGTCCTGCCTGGCTTCATGGGGAGCAGTTCCAGAGCATCGCCCAGGGATGCCATGACAACAGGCAGCAGGTTTAAAGCAAACAGCAGGAAGTGCTTCTTCCCACACACACAGCCGGCCAGTGGAGCTCACTGCCAGGGGATGTGGCGAAGGCCAGAAGTAAAATGGGTCCCAAACAGAACGAGGCTAGGTCCATCGTTGGCCATTGGCCAGGTTGGGCAGCGACACAACCCATGCTCCTGATGTCCCTAAACTTCTGACTAATGGAAGCTGGGAGTGGCTGGCAGGGGCTGGATCACTCGACAGCTGCCCTGTTCTGTTCCCTCCCTCTGAAGCCCCTGGCACTGGCATGGTTGGAAGAGGAGACCCTGGGGCAGGTGGGCCATTGCTCTGACCCAGTGTTCTTATGCTAGCAGTCAGACTGGGACTCAACCTCCTTTACTGCCCTCCGGATCCTCTGAAAGGCGAGGGCCGGTCCCCGTGCTGGGCTGCTCCCTGCGGGGATGGGGACTGAGAGCCGGGACTGTTGCCTTTAACTCCAGCTGCAGGTCCCATTAATCCCGTTATTCTCTTAACTCTAGATCCCACTAACGCATCCCAGCCTTCATGACATTTACCCACAGTTCCCAAATCCCTGGCTGACTGAAATCCTTTGGCTACTGAGCCATGCCCGGGCAAACACCAACTCTATTTAAAGACATTGTTTTAGGCCAATTGGTTGGAACCACGCTAATCTCCAGTTTCCCAGACTCACAAAGCTCTTCTAAGGCTAAGTACTCAGCTTACCCAGCCAGGGAAATCCAGCTTCAGGCACCTCAGGAGGGGTCCCAGAGCACTGCTTCCTCCCCAGCCAGCCTCTGCTGTCCGGAAAACGGCATGGGTCACATCTGACAGCCCCTCCCAGTAAGGCTCTCTAGCGATTAAAAAAATTAATCCTGATTAATCGCACTGTTAACCAGTAATAGAATACCATTGATTTCAATATTTTTAGATGTTTTCTACATTTTCAGATATATTGATTTCAATTACAACACAGAATATCAAGTGTACAGTGCTTACTTCATATTTATTTTTATTACAAATATTTGCACTGTAAAAAGCAAAAGAAATAGTACATTTCAATTCACCTAATATAAATACTGTAGTGCAATCTCTTTATCTTGAAAGTTGAACTTATAAATGTAGAATTATGTACAAAAAATAACTGCATTCAAAAATAAAACAACGTAAAACTTTAGAACCTACAAGTCCACGCAGACCTACTTCAGCCAATCGCTTAGACAAACAAGTTTGGTTACAATTTGCAGGAGATAATGCTGCCTGCTTTTCGCTTACAATGTCACCTGAAAGTGAGAACAGACATTCACATGGCACTGTTGTAGCTGGCATCACAAGATATTTACATGCCAGATGCACTAAAGATTCATATGTCCCTTCATGCTTCAACCACCATTCCAGGGGACATGCGTCCATGCTGGTAACGGGTTCTGCTTGATAACCATCCAAAAAGAGCGGACTGACGCATGTTCATTTTCATCATCTGAGTCAGATGCCACCAGCAGAAGGTTGATTTTCTTTTTTGGTGGTTCAGGTTCTGTAGTTTCCACATCAGAGTGTTGCTCTTTTAAGACTTCTGAAAGCATGCTCCACCCTTCATCCCTCTCAGATTTTGGACGGCACTTCATATTCTTAAACCTTGGGTCGAGTGCTGTATCTATCCTTAGAAATCTCACATCGGTACCTTCTTTGCATTTTGCCAAATCTCCTGTGAAAGCACTCTTAAAACGAACATGTGCTGGGTCATCATCCAAGACTGCTATAACATGAAATATATGGCAGAATGTGGGTAAAACAGAACAGGAGACATCCAATTCTCCCCCAAGGAGTTCAGTCACAAATTTAATGAATGCATTATTTTTTTAACAAGCATGGAAGCATGTCCTCTAGAATGGAGGCCGAAGCATGAAAGGACATATGAATGTTTAGCATATCTGGCACGTAAATACCTTGCAACGCCGGCTACAGAAGTGCCATGCGAATGTCTGTTCTCACTTTCAGGTGACACTGTAAACACAAAGCAGGCAGCAGTATCTCCCATAAATGTAAATAAACTTGTTTGTCTTAGCAATTGGCTGAACAAGAAGTAGGACTGAGGGGACTTGTATGCTCTAAAGTTTTACACTGTTTTGTTTTTGAGCGCAGTTATGTAACAACCAAAAAAATCTCCATTTGTAAGTTACACGTTCAAGATAAAGAGATTGCACTACAGTACTTGTATGAGGTGAACTGAAAAATACTATTTGTTTTATCATTCTTACAGCACAAATATTTATAATCAAAAATAATAATATAAAGCGAGCACTGTACACTTCCTAATCTGTGTTGTAATAGAAATCGATATATTTGAAAATGCAGAAAAGCACGCAAAAATATTTAATAAATTTCAATTGGTATTCTATTGTTTTAATAGTGCGATTAATCGTGATTAATTTTTTTATTCACAGTTAATTTTCTTGCGTTAATGGCGTGAGGTAACTGCGATTAATCAGCCCTGCATCCCAGATAAGGAGCAGGGAGCCCAGCGCACACCAGGCAAGAGGCACTGCACAATCCCCAGCCCAGATATTTCAGGGCCCAGGGCCGGTGGCAGAGCTCCAAGGAGTCTAACTTGCAGCCTTTACTCATCTCACTGGGGCAGTGAGTGCCCAGGGCTCGGCACAGCTAGCTCAAGGGGCTCCGAATCGTTCCTCCCCCTGGGGTGGAATGAACGCCAGCCCTGGGCCTGGGGCTGCTGGCCAGAAAACAGACTTGCCTTCTCAAGTGAGGCCTGTGGTTCGCCAAGGAGCCGGGATGGGGTGGGGGAAGCACCAGACAGCCGGCTTCCCCTCGGTTAGCACAGCACCTGCCCTCTGTGGCCAGTGGCTCTCTGCTATGACCCAGGCCCAGATACACACCTCCAGCCCATCACATCCCCTCCCCACCAGGTGCTGGCATAGGGAAGCCTTGCCCCGAACTTCTGCCTTCTCGGGTCCAGCTGCAGTCCCTTGCCAGTGAGCCACGTGCTGGCCTCTGCACGTTCACATTTGAAATCCCAGCCCAGCTGATGGGTTCAGCTTCCCGTATTCCCCGAGAGGCTAAAACCTCAGAACACAGAACAAAACACACAGCACTGGGGAGCCCAGGCAGCGCCTTGGCCAGGACAGCCACGCACTCCCCCACTGCCTCCTCCCAACCCGAGTACCCCCAGGGGACAGGGCATGACGGTCTGGGCCTCGACGATGCCTAAGCCAAGACAGGAGGGACACTTACTCAGATCTCTCACCCTAAATGCCTCAATGGCCCCAGCACCTCACAATCCGCAGTGACCCTCCCAGGCTGGGCTGCTGTCCCCACATTACCTATGGGAACCAAGGCAGGCCCGGAACTTGTTCAAGGTCCCACGGGGAGCCTGCAGCAGGGCAGGGAGCCAAACTGGGTCCTGGGCAGGTGCCCTAATCCCTGGGATCCTTCCCCTCTAAGGTCACAAGAGCATCCCATCGGTGACACCTGTCGCTCCCTGTGCTCCTTGCCAAGGCGCCATCAGCGGGCAAAGGCTCTCCCGGCCCGATCACACATTCCAGGCTTGATGCTGCCACCTGCCAGGACCCCCAGCCAGTCACAAACTGCAGCTGCTCAGGCCCTCCGCACACACACCAGCTTCCAGGAACCTGAACAGCGCTGAGGGCAGACAGGGCACATTATTGGGGGCCCTGTCCGCACGATCATGTCACAGACCCCACTCACGAGCCCGCCTGCGACAGCCTGTGTTCACCTGCCCCCCACCAGCACTGCCTGCAGTAACGGTTCAGACACACCAAGCACCCTCTCCCTTGCCAGCACCCACGGGCTCGTTTCATCCAAGGCATGTGTGGCCCAGCGAGGACAGGGAGTCTGATGCATTATTCTCTGCACTGGCAGCCCACAAGGAACAGGGCTGAGCGGGCTGTGGCCAGCGACCCCAACCAGGGAGAGGGCTGGAGCATTTACTCTTCAGCAGCTGAAGCCAAGGGGGAAATAAAGCAGCTGCCACCAGCTGAAACCACCTCAAGTCAGAGGTGCCCCAGCAGAGACCAGGGCACCTGCACCTTCCTCTCCCCGAGCCTGGAAACACCCAGCCCACACAGTCAGGAGCTCGTGCCTATGCCTGACCCTCCTCCCCCTGTATCAATGGAACTGCTTCCCAAGACCCCAATGCCGCCTCCCACCCCCCAGGGGCTTTGCCCTTCACCCATATTCCACCTGGGCACTCGCTCACGCGGGTGTACCCCCCAGTCCCCAAAGGCTCAGCCAGGAAGCACAGGGAAAGAGGAAGGAGAGAGCTGTCACTGGAGCCCTGGCCGGCATCCCAGCCCAGTGACAGCTACATGCGACTCAGCCCGTCCTGTCTAATGTGATTATAAACCTGAGATACAAATACACTAAATCGTTGGAAGCGTTATGGCCAGCTCCCCGTGACGTTAAATGCCGGCAGCATGGCAGATGCTTCCCTGCCTGACTGACAGCTTGGCACAGCTAGCATCCATTAGTACGTTCCCCTAGGTAACCCAGCCCCAAGTGCTCTAAGCCCAGCTCCTGGCCCACATGCCTTACAACACACCCTCTCCGGACTGAATGGGACCCACACACTGGCGAGGGCCATGCACGTTCTGACTGAGGAAGGGCCAGGGGCCGGGGCTGCAACAACTAGCCCCCACGCAGCCCAGGACATGAGCTGGTGCATGAAGCCCGGCAGCTCCATTCCCAGACAGCTCTAGCCTGGATGCTAAGAGTGCAGCATGGCCCCAAGCGGCCACTTACCTTTCTTTGCCTCGGCCTGCTGAATTCTCCAGACCGTCTTGTAGATCTCAAAGTTATAGTTGCTGGGGAGGGCTCCAACTGCCTCCTGTAGCTCCTTATTGGTGAGAATTGCCTCGGGGATCTGCATAGCCACCCGTCGGCGCTGGGGTCCTCGGCCTGCAAGGAGAGCCAAGGAGCTTCTTATACAGAATTGCAAGGAGCCAAAGGATCCGTGAAGAGTGGGAAGGTGCTGAGCCGCTGGCTACCCACCAGCTGCATGTGCCACACCGGACTCTGTTAGCTACCACAGGGTTTGACACCTGGCTCCCACTGCCACAGGCCATCACACCAGCAGAACCAGGGGGAAGCCTGGCTCCGTCCCGCCAGCAGCAAGGACTAGCTGGGAGGCACGGTAAGACATGCTGGATGTGTCACACCAAGGGAACCACCTATTGTCTCCAGAGGCTTGATGATTCAGCATCCATCGGGAGATGCCAACTCACTCAAACGAATCCAGAGCCACAGCTCAGACCCCTCTGCTCGCCTGAGAGCACAGGGGACCCACTCCCGCCCTGCCCACCAGAGACAACTGATTGGGTGCAGGACCAGGGAAGGAGGTTTCCACCCCCCAGTAGCCAGGCTCAGTAATGCAGGGAGGCACCAGGCCTGCTAATCTAGCACAGCCTGGGGGGGAGGGCACAGAGTAACTTCATGCTCCAACCCCTCAATAAACTAATATTAAAGGCAAGGAAATGATAGCATGAAAGCTGTGCAATTACATTCAATCTTGCTGAGTGACTCGGGAGTAATGGAGCAACCGGAGGGGGCAAAGGGCAGCTGTCAGAGCGTACACTGAGCCCAGATCAGAAACTCCGAACAGAATTAACTGAGAGAGGCTTGGCCATAGCCCCCACCTCACTGACATGCGCAGAGATGGGGGGCTTTGCCCAGAGCCAGACACCCACTGCCAGGGGCTGCTCAGCGCCAGTAACCCAGCGGGGAAAGCTGCTGATCAACTAGGGGCAGGACCACCCTCCAGGAGAGGCAGCAGCCAGTCACTCGAAGCCGAGTTCAGGGTACGGACAACGATGACTCCCTAGAGAGCAGGAATCCAGTGACCGACCACTGGTGGGTCATGCGCCAGCATGACCCTATCGCCCCAGATACATGAGGCCTAGAAAGGCTTCTGTGCAGAGACCACTTCCGCTTGCCAGCTGCCCTGCGTCCCCAGACAGTGCCGCCGGCTGCCATCCAGAGAATGCGGAGAAGTCTTTTGTTCTCTCAGGCAGCTGGCAAGTTTAAAGGTGACCACCACGAAGGGCCCATATGCAGGTAGGAAGGTCCCACACACTGGGTCACCACACACAAGCTCCAGCCACAGTGCCCCCTCAGCAGCAAGGAGTCACCTGAAATCCTGCTGCCCAGAGCCCAGCAAGCCCACCAGAACCAGCTTAACCTGCAGCCCCTCACAGAGCCAGCACGGGGTGGCCTCTCGCATAAGGGCTGCCCTGAGCCCCTGATTCACGACTTGGCCCCAAGAGAGTCTCAGGTTAAGGCTGAGCAGCCCAAGCGCACACTGCCTGCCAAACACTTCGCACACGTGGACACTAAAGCCTGTGTCCCCTGCTCCTATCCTCAGGCCTTGAGCCAGACCCTGCCTCAAGAGAGCTCCCCTTCTCCCTGCTGGTCCTCTGCCCCCACAAGGACTCCTCCTCCCTTCCCAGCCAGGACCCCACAGGAGCTCCCTCTCCCACCAACTGGCCCAGAGCCAGCACTGCCCCCCGTGTGTCCACGATGCCCCATGGAAGGGGCGGTAGCTGGCTGGCACTCCTGGAGGGGCAATGCTCTCGCAAGGGAAGGGCAGGTATTCCTTCTCTAGTATCTCACTCGACTAGTGATGGGAGCGGTGAAGGGCAGGTTTCTATTCCTGTTTTACCATGACTGCTCGAGACCCTTTTGTGGGACTCTGTGAATCAGAAAGGCTGTCAGCAATCCGAACGCTGCCAGACGAGCTGATGCAGCGTACGGGCTGCTTTATTTATGCTCGCAAAGGGCCCTTTCATGACAATGCCTCATGGCGAACAGGTGTTTGCTGCTGTCTGAAGGCCAGGTGACTCACGAGCTGCCTTGCCCACTCACCCAATGAGTTATCCAGGCTCCTGTGAAGCAAACTGCCCGAATAAATTAAATGCCACAAAGTAACTTAGACAATTAGGAGACTGAAGTCCCCAGGGCTGACCGGTTTCGTCTCAGCCACGCCACGTAGGAAAAGCCCCTGCGGACCCTTCTGTCCACCGAGTGAGCAGCAGGCGGAGGTGACAGAGGGTGGAGGGATGGGAGAGCAGACGCCGGAGCCAAGCACGGAGCCAGGGCACAGCCCGAGGCTGATGGACCCGCCCTGGGCAGAGCCTCCCCTCACACCAGCCAGCCGGGCAGGGCCCAGGAGCCAGAGCCGCGCGGGGACAGGCCGAGCTCCCGGGAGAAGCTCCCGTCACACAGGGCCGCCGACCCTCCAGGAATTGCGGATCACGCCATGAGAGGAACCCCCAGGAAGCCCGCCCGCCTCAGCCCGCCCTGACTGGCGCCTCGGAGGGGAGGGGAGGGGACGGGACGGGCCGGCGCGCAGCCTGGCCGGGAGAAACGGGCCGAGCAGCCGCTGCCCGCAGGGCCACAACACGGAACCGCTGAGGGAAGGGGCAGCCCGCGGCGGGTCTCGGGACCGGCTGCAGGCCTGGGAAGCGCGGTCACTCTGCCGACGGCCAAGCACGTTCCCCCACCGGCCCGGCGAGCTCACGCGGGCGGGAAAGGCCCCGATCCGCGCCCCTGGCCGGGGAGGGGAGGGGAGGTCGGGGCACGGCTCCGGGGCCTCCGCTGGCCGGGCCGGGCCGGGCTGGAACCAGCCCCGGGACAGGCCGCGCCCCGCCCACCGGGCTCCCACCTGGCGCCGAGGCCGGGGGCTCGCCCCGCGCCAGCTGCTCCTGGGCCGCCATCGCGAACGAACCCACGTGGAGGCCGGAAAGGCAGCGCCAATAGAGCCACGTGTGCGCCGCCAGATCCGAGACAGGAGCAGACGCCGACCGAGCAATCGAGCACAGGCGGCGGCGGTGTGGGAGCGGGGCCTGTGGAACTCCCTGCCCCGGGCTTTTCCCACTCGACCCCACCATGGGGCAGGCAGTGTGTGGGGCTTGAACAGCGCTGAGCGCCCTGCATAACATCCTCCGCTCCTGCTCCTGTCCCTGGGGTGCCCCCTGCATAACACCCCCCTGCTCCTGCCCCCAGGGTGCCCCCTATAGAACACCCCCCCCTGCTCCTGACCCTGGGGTGCCCCCTGCATAACACCCTCCTGCTCCTGCCCCCTGGAGTCCCTGTATAACACCCCCTCTGCTCCTGCCCCAGGGTGCCCCCTGCATAACACCCTCCTGCTCATGCCCCTGGGTTTCTCCCTATATAACACCCCCCTGCTCCTGCCCCCTGGAGTCCCTGCATAACACCCCCTATATAACACCCCCCTTACTGTAATTTTCCTGGGATGACAGGGGCAGGTTTGTCCTGCAGTTTGCAGGGGTCATAGCAATAACATGCGACAGCCCATGTGAGCAGCATCAGGTTCAGCAACGTGGGTGGTGGGCAAAGTAATCACAGAACCGTGTCTGGGCAGAGCCCCCCATGCAGGCACTGAGCCAGGAGCCCCAAGGCCAGACTTACTGGCATAAACTGGACCAGTGTGCAGCTGCCCTCCTTTTCAGTGGAAACCCAGCCTAGCCTCGCCAGACCTCAGCCCAGGGCTGGATTAATCTTTTTGTGGGCCCTGGCACCTGGACTGTGGCCACGCTTCACCCCGAGACCCTGCTCCTGCTTAGCCTCTTCCCCCCGAGACCCCACCACTGCTCACATGGAGGGAACAGAGAGGAGCAAGGCATAGGGAAGCGGGGAGGCAGGGGCCTGGAGGGGGATGGGAGGGAGCTCAAGGAGGGCTGGGAAGCTGAAAGCTGCAGGGGGGCCATGGGGCAGAGAGCAGCTTGTGGGGTGGGTCTCCATGGCTGGGGGCAGCAGTTTCACCCACACAGCCCAAGTTGGGGAGCCCAGTGGGAGGAGGTGGAGTGGGGAAGAAGCCCCTGTCACTGTCCCTCTAACCCCCCTTTTCTTCCCAGGCTGCCAGGCCTACCCCCTTCTTGTGATGGGCACCATGCTGTCCCAGCAGCAAGCCAGCGTGGCTAAGCCCACTGCACCTGTCCCCCAGCCCCTGTGCATGCGCCTGCAGCCAGGGGGACCCCTGCATCTGGGATTTGGATTCCTGCTCCCTGGAGATTATCAACTGGAGGAATAAAAAGGAGACCATGCAGTACCAGTAAGTGTGGGAGGGAGTGTTAAACCGACAATGGGTTGGAAGAGAAGCCAGGATATAATTCCCCCTCCCTCCTTACTACAGGTACCCCTTGGTCCGTATCTGATCACTGGTGCAATCCCCTTCCTCACCCCCAGACCATCCTGCCAAAGGAAGAGCAAAGACAGTCGATACTGAGTCTTTTATTACACCGTTGGCATGACATATACCTTTGGCTTCTCTAGAGGATTTTTAACTTTCTCTTTATCCAACAGATAGTCCCAACAATCGCAACAAACCAAACTGTATTATTAAAATAAGACAAATGGGTGAATCAACACACTCCACGCTTCCTTGAAGTTGGTGGGACTGAAAAACAAGCTTTCCCACCAGTGTGAGAAAGATGTATCCCTTTGCACCCTTTTGAAAAGCTTTTCTATCTTTTTAGTGGAGTGATGCATGGTGAGCACCTCGTTTTTACCTTGTGGCTCCACCTTTTAAGGTGCTGTCTTAAACTTCAGTGTGCTATTAACTGGTTTAACACAGATGTATTTACCCCAAAGTGATTGGATTTCCATGTTTATATAACATGTAGGCAACATGAACAGCTTGCACAGAAATAATTTGAAACACAAAGTCAATGTTACACCCCTGTATAGAGTATACATGACACAACCAAATTGACACAAGGATTATGACTGACCATATAAAAGGAATTAACCAGAAACGGGTACACCAGATTCGAAAAGATCTGCCGGGGTTATTTACCTAAACAATGGCTGAGCTATTACGGCTACTTGGCTGGAGACTAGTGACACTTTCCTTGGTCCAAATTTAAATAGCTTTGTGGACCCTCAGTAAAACTTGTGGTACATGTATAGCCAATACCCGATTCCCAGTTGCAGGAATTTAGGTTGACACAACTATATCCTGCATCATCTCTGTGCACCCATTTAGGTATGTCCATAGGGATGAGAACAGAGTTGTTGACATTTAGGCCTATTGGGACTAAGGGGTACACCCACCTTTCACTGGCAGTGAGTATAGTTCGTATGTGGTGGTTATGTGGGTTTCCAGGTCATGAGAAATTGACACTTCCTCCCTGCCTGGTGGATCGCTTCAAAAGAGCTAACGTTTCTTAGCAGTAGTTGCTCAGCTCTGAAGGGATGGTTCCATTGAATCCATCCTTGAGAATGCTCCTAGACATAGTTAGCAGCCAGGACTCGGCTTGAGCACAAGTTAAAGCCCATGAGCGGTTGCCCTGCAACACCCCTACGGCATCTATAATTAGTTTATGATCCTCCTCTTGCCAACCAAACCATTTTGGTTGGGTCTTAACAATTTAATAGTCCAGATTGTCCAAGAGGGTTAATGAGGAGGTCACTGGCTGACTCAGCGTGGCCCTGTCAGGCCCCATACTACATATTTTTCCAGCCAGGATGCATCAATTGAATTTAAAATACCCACTTTGCCACTGCATCCCTTTCACCCCTATTTGGCTTGGGCAAGATGCTTTTTACCCAAGCTTCCCATCCCGAGATCAGTGTTTGAACATAGGGTGCACACATAGGTTCAATGCTGCTTGCTGCCACTTGCAAAGGCATAGTGATCTTTAGAGAATAGACTGGCTCAATGAGCATTAGCCTTTGGAATTCCCCTTTACTATCACAGGACCTACATTGCTTATACAAGGGTCCGGTACCACGGCCACTCGTTTGACCTCTCTGGCTCCATATGTACCAGTTACAACCCACCTGCCTGTGTCCTGTACACTGACACTCGTATCTCTGGTACCGCAACAGTTGCACATTGTACATCTACTACATTACAGAAACGAATTACTAAATGAGTCAAACATGCCCTTGCTGTTACTGTAACAATGCAGACTTATACTATACACACATTAGAGGAAGTATGTGTCTTTATATTTAAAGCCTTTACCACAAATTGCACTTGCATGGTTATCTTTACCTTAAACACTCCCATCTTTAAAACAAGGGAATGTTTGAATTGATGCTGACACATCTAGATTCACCTCGCACTCTTAACACCTCTGAACAATTGCCCAAGTGGTCATCATTAAACTCCCACTTGCAAGCCTTTTCCCATTTGTGAACAAAGCGTGTCTGGTCAGCGTTTTTGTCAGCTATTACCATATAGGTGCTATTGGCCTCTGCCAACACCCCCTGTGAGACATTTCCTACATCCTCCTTCCCTACAAGGGAGCAGTAGAGACCTTTTTTGTAGGCATAGATGGTGATGTGGCCTCATGACATAATGTGGTGACACGAAATCCATGCCCTCCCATAACCTATTGCCAGTAACATCTACATCTTTCCCTGTGTTACAAAAGTAGTGCTCTCCCTCTTTTATGTGTAGCAGAGCACATTTAGCAATCCATGTATACAAATAAAATAAAATATCCGTTGCATGATTGATGTGCTGGTCCTGAAAGGAAACAAACAAATATAAAGATTACTGTACATTCTGGTTGCTCAAGTTCCAGCTCCTTTCCAATTTTTGGGCTCAGAGGAATGTAACCACTTAAGGGTTTTCCTCCTCTTTCCTTTCCGCTCGACTTGGTATACGGTTGGGCTAGCCTTGTTGGTTATGGCTACTGGGGCTACCCATTTGGGGATGAGGACATGCCCTTTGTCTGAGCAGTACCTACACAGGACTTGGTCCCCAACATCCCACTCTTGGATTTTTAGAGTCTCCCTCAACCTCTTGTCCATGAATTTAGCATTGCTCTTTAAGTGTAGCACTACTTGCTTTTGGGTCGTGCCGATGTTCTGTAGCAGCGTACTGATAAATTGATCCATTAATACTCAAGGTTGGTAATCATCAGGGGGAGCTCCCCTGCAACCACCATTGCTCAGGTATGCACATGACTCTTCCTGTAAGCACCTCGTGTGTGGTACAGCCGTGGTTCTCAATGCACCAATTGCACCCAATGCACCGCTACAGACTAGGGACCGAATGGCTCGGCAGCAGTTCTGTGGAAAAGGACCTAGGGGTGACAGTGGACGAGAAGCTGGATATGAGTCAGCAGTGTGCCCTTGTTGCCAAGAAGGCCAATGGCATTTTGAGATGTATAAGTAGGGGCATAGCGAGCAGATCGAGGGACGTGATCGTTCCCCTCTATTCGACATTGGTGAGGCCTCATCTGGAGTACTGTGTCCAGTTTTGGGCCCCACACTTCAAGAAGGAGGTGGATAAATTGGAGAGAGT